CTCCTCCTTCTCCTCCTCCTCCTCCGCCGCCTCCACCTCCTCCTCCTCCTCCTCCTCCTCCTCCGCCTCCGCCTCCGCTTTCGCCTCCGCCTTCTCTCCCCTCCACAGTTACAAAATATGAATACTACTCTCCTCTCTCCCCTGGTGACGTGCAGAAAATGGCCGGCCCCCCTCCGCGTACTGGTTTTTCAAAATGCTGCTCTCGCTGAGGCGCTGGCTTCTTTTTCGGGCCACCGCTCGTTCCGAATCGTGTTCCCGCTGCAGCACTGGCCTCATTTCTGCGATGCCGCTCGTTCCGAATCGCGCTCCCGCTGCAGAGCTGGCGTCATTGTTTCCAGCGCCGTGCCATGGCATGGTTTTCCGTCCTTCCAAATCGGAAACCATCGGAAACCATCGGAAGCCATGCCATGGCAAGGCCCCCCCCGAAAAAACCATCGGAAATGATTCAACATTCGGTGCCATTTCGTTGGTTTTTGGTGTCGCACCCCCCCCACTTCGGGGCGTCGCCACGCCATGCTATGTCAGGCCCCGCGTCCTCCGAATCGCGCTCCCGCTGCAACGCTGGCCTCGTTCCCGCGTTTCCGCTCGTTCCGAATCGCGCTCCCGCTGCAGCGTTATTATTTCCAGCGCCATGCCGCGGCATGGTTTTCGGTCCTTCCAAATCCGCCGACCCCTTGCGGGTCTTTAGGCGCGTGAGATTGTTCCCCCCCCATAACCCCCCCCGGGACCCCAAACAGGCAATTTGACCTCCCCTTTCCTTCGTGGTGGACGACCCTCCGCCGAACTCATCCGAGGCGGTCTGGGCTCCCCGGGCTCGGTTGGGAGCCTCCGACGCCACCCCCAAAATGACCCGAGAGAGCACAAAGTCGCCGAAGGATAGCTTTAACACGCCCTGGGTGGGCCCCAGGCGGCCTACGAGGGCGCCACGACGCTCCGAGGGGCGTTCAACCGGCTGCCGAAGCGGGGCCCCGGAGGCCAAAATCGTGCCATTCCTATAGGACAACGTACATTTTTGGCATATACGCCTTTTCGGCCAACGCGGCGTTGACAATGGCCCACGAGGCCGCCAAGACCGCTCCAAGAGGGCCCAAGAGGCTCCCAAGAGGGCCCCAACGCGGCCCGAGAAGGCGCCAAGACGTCCCAAGAGGCGCCCAAGACAGCCCAAGAGAACCCCCAGGCGGCCCCAAGAGGGGCCCAAAAAGGGGAGCCCGAACCGAACATCTTAGCCTTCCGCCCCCGGAGGCCCCCGAGAGGGCCCAAGGGAGCGGCCGAAGGCGCCAAGAATCCGTCAAGACATCCCAAAAGGCCCCCCGGCACGCCTCTCAGGAAACACTAAGATACCCAAGTCGCCGAATTCCTTTTCCTTGACCTCCTTCTTCTCCTCTTCCTCCACCGCATCCTCCTTCTCCTCCTCCTCTCCCTTTCTGCCACATCGCCTGGTCAAACAAAGCCCAACACAACGCATGGCGGAATGGGCGGCAGCCGCGGTGCCCGCGGCCGGCAGCCACGATGCCTCCCAAATACGCCACGGACTCATGAGCGCGCACACCGCAACAAAACAAGGGGAGAGGCCCCAGAGGCCAAAATCGTCCCATTCTTAGAGGACACAGTCATTCTGGGCATATACGCCTCTTCGGTCAACACGGCGTTGAGAATGGCCCACAAGATCGCCAAGACCGCCCCAAGAGGGCCCTAGAGGCTCTCAAAAGAGCCCCAACACGGCCCTCAGCTTAGCGCGGTCCTGTCAGAAACGGCGGTGGCGACAATGCGGGCATGTCGCGCGTTTGCGACGGCCCCTGGCAACTATGACACCCATCGCCTTGCGGCAGCGCAGGCCGAGGCCCGCGTAAGGCTCCTCCTGTGCTGTCGCCCCCCTCACCTCAATCATCGTTGTTCTCGCCCCCTCCTGTCCCCCTTCCCCTTCCCCTTCCCCTTCCCAACATTCGGGCGCTGTCTGGAGCGTTCACATGGATCTCACGCGCGCGCCTTGCACCGCAACGTGCGTCTTTCCACGGCGCGCGCGAAATGCGGTCCAACCGTGAACTTTGACTTCGGCAGCTTCCTCTTGCAGGCGCCGAAGCACTCGCACGCTTGCGTACTGCGAGCCGTGAACCCCGACTCGCCGAAAGACCGTTCCAAGACGCCCAAAATGGCATCCACACAACCCACGGTGCCCCTAGGCCGCCCCGCAAAGCCTCCGAGAGAGCTCCCGGGACCCGGCGATAGCCCCTGATGAAAAAAAGGGGATCGGCGGATGTGGCGTAAGCCTATAGAATCCACGTCCGGAAGTGACGTGTTGCCGGAGGCAGGTCGCGGAGCGGAGCGGAAGCCCTAATGCAACGTATCCAATGTATCCAATGATTGCGCAATTGCTACACGTTGCATGGTGTTACATTATTATGTCTCCCCCCTTAACCCCCCCCCGGAATCGCGCCACTTCCGTCGACCCCAAGGTGGAAGGCCCCTTGTGGGCCCAAAAACATACAAAACCTATGAGAAGTCAGCAAATTCAGCCTCTTGGGCCTCTTGGGGCCCCAAGAAAGTTTCAAGACGGCCCAAGATGGCCCCAAGAGGGCCCATGAGGCCCCCAAAAAGGTCCAAGTTGGGACAATTTCAGCGTTCTCGCCTTTTTCGGCTCTCAGAAGGCCATGGCGGCCCAAGCAGCCTCCAAGGAGGCCCCCAAACGGCCCAAGAGGCCTCCAATGGGGGCCCCAAGACGGCCCAAGAGGGCCCCGAGACGGCCAAAAAAAACCTCCAAGACGGCCCAAGAAGCCCCCAAGACGGCCCCAGAGGACCCCAAGAGAGCCCCAAGGCGGCCGCGAGAGGCTTCCAAAGTGGCCTCCGAAGTGGCCAGACGGCGTAAGAGCGCCCAAAGACGGCTCCAAGACGCCTCCAAGAGGCCCCCAGAGGCCCCAAAGAGGGCCCCAAACGGCCCAGGAGGGCCCCAAGACGGCTCAAAGAGGCTCCCAAGGCGGTCAAAACAAATCCTGAGGCGGCCCAGGAGGACCCCAAAGAACCCCAAGGCGGCCGCGAGAAGCCCCAAAGACGGCCTCCGAAGGGGCGGAACGGCGCAAAAAACGAGGCCCCGAGAGGCCCCCAAGAGGCCCCCAAGGAACTCAAACAAAAAACTAGAGAGGCCCCCAAGAAATCCCCAAGAAGCCTCGAAGAGGCCTCAAAGAAGCCCCCCAAAAGGCCACACAACGACTGGAGCGTAATGTTATTTCCCCCCCTGGGCGAAGTGCGGCGCAGCGCCAGCCGGTTGGAAGTTGGTCACGGCGGCGCGCATGATTAGAGCTGGCGCTGGAAGGGAAGATTGGGAGGGAGTATGAAAAGGAGGGGTGGGGAGGCCCCAAAGAAGTCCCCAAGAGGCCCAAAGAAGCTCCCAAGAGGCCTCCAGGAGGCCCCCAGGAGGCTCCCAAGAGGCCCCGCGACGACGTGACAGTACGTGCTCCGGACGTGCACCCCGCGAAGCGAAAAGAATCCACGTCCGGAGGTGACGTGCTGAGCGGCAACGTTTTTTTGCGGAGGCGCTAATGCAATGTATCCAATGTATCAAAGATTGCACCATTGCAACAAAGCGTATACTGATACATTATTATGTCTCCCCCCTAACCCCCCACCCAGGAGCTACGCCACATCCGTCGACCCAAGATGGAGACCCCCTCCCGAGGCTCAATAACCTACCGAAGCCTATGTCAAATCAATGATTTCGACCTCTTGGGCCTCTTGGGGGGCCACGAGGGCGCCAAGACGGCTCAACATGGGCCCAAGAGGGCCCAACAAACCCCAATGACGGCCCAAAAGGGCCCCAAGAGCGCTCACAACTGCGCCTCCAGATGCCGAAATCATTGATCTTCCGATGGTCCTGGCGATATGTCAGCGTTCGCCATTGCGGCCCAAACAGCTTCCAACATCGCCCCAGAACAACCCGAAAAGTCCCCAAGAGGGCCCCAAGACGGCCCAAAAGGGCCCCAAGACGGCCCAAAGAGGCCCCCAAGACGGTCCAGGAGGCCCCTGAGACGGCCCAGGAGGACCCCAAAAGGGCCCCAAGGCGGCCGCGAGAGGCCCCCAAGACGGCCTCCGAAGGGGCGAAACGGCAGAAAAAAAACGCCCCAAGACGGCTCAGTACGCCCCCGAGAGGCCCCAAGAGGCCCCCAAGACGCACCCAAGGGGCCCCAAGAAACCCCCAAAAGGCCTCCAAGAAGTCTCCAAGAAGCCTCCACAAGGCCCCATAGAAGCCCCCCAAAACCCACACAGCGACTGGAGTGTACTGTCATGTTCCCCCCTGGGCGAAGTGCGGCGCAGCGCCAGCCAGGTGGAAGTTGGTCACGGCGGCACCCATGATTAGTGCTGGCGCTGGAAGGGGGTATGGGGAGGGAGTATGAAAAGGAGGGAAGGGGGAGAGGCCCCAAAGACGTCCCCAAGACGGCCCAAGACGCCCCCACGAAACTCCCGAGAGACCCCAAAACGACTTCACTGTACGTACTCCGGACGTGCACCCCGCAAAGCGAGAGGAATCGACTTCAAAATCAAGAAAATGGCCTCCCAAAGAAACCATCGGAAATGATTGTACATTCGGTGTCGATTCGATGGTTTTTTGGGCCGCAGACCCCCCCCACTTTGGGCCGTCGCCACGCCACGCTATGTCATGCTACGCGTTGATCTTCAACACCATGCTATGCCATTAGTGCTAGGCCATGCTCGACATCCCATGGTGCAGAACATAGAAAAGATATCTGCGCCACGGTAAGGGATGGGAGGGAGGGGTAGAAGGTCAGATATGTCGCGAGCGCACCTAGCTCCTCCTCCTCCTCCTCCTCCTCTTCCTCCTCCTCTTTCTCTTCCTTTTTTCTATCTCTCTTTCTCTTTTTCTTTCTCTTTCTCTTTCTCTTTCTCCTCCTCTTCCTCCTCCTCCTCCTCCTTACTGGAAGGGCTCTGGGCCTGTATGGCGGGCGCCCGGCCGTGCCTGTCCGTGGCTGCCCCCCCCCCCCCGCGGGCGCCTTCGAGGAGAGCTTCGTCCTCAGCGGCGTCCTCAACGGGGTCGGGCCGGCGGCCGACGTCCTCGGGCGGAGTCGGGCCGGCCGTCTCGGGGCCTCGAAAACTGCCGCTGCCCAGAAGTTTAACTTCAATAGGGCTTTTTTCTGGACCAGGCTGGCAGGGCCCTGTTTCCCACCCCCCGCGCGCTTGTTTCGATCGAAACCGTCCCCGGGACGACGTGAATTCCCTGGATCTGGCTGTCCCCGGATCCCGGGGAGGGATGTCGGAGACAGCTGTGGATCCCAGGAGTTTGTCGGAAAAGCCCCGGGCCTCGAAAAGGCGCCCAGGAAAGCAGCTTTCATAAAGAAGGGGCTCGTTTTCTGGACCAGGCCGGCCGGGCCCTGCTTCAAACCCACGTGCGTGATCGCAACCGTCTGCGATCGCTGGGCCCCGTCTCCCACCCCCCGGTGGCGTTTCAGTGGCAGCCGTGCTCGGGATCCGGGCACAAGTGTCCCCGGGATCCCAGGGACAGCTGTCCCCGGGATCCCAGGGACCGCCGACTCAAAGACCAGCAAGGAGCCAGCAGCAGGCAGCAGCAGCAGCAGCAGCAGCAGCAGCGGAAGCAGGCAGCAGCAGCAGCAGCTGTTTCGAACCTCCCAATGCGAAAACACTGCCCTGGGGCCCTTCTTGGTCCAACGGACGCATAACTTTCTAATTCCGGTCGTTGGCAATTCCCGCCGCGAGTTAGACATGAATAGAGAGCAGAGAATCCACCGTCATCATAATCACCCCGACGCGCAAATCCGTTTAGTAAATGCACCCAAAGAAGGAATCGAACATGGCAGGGCTGTTCAGTAAACGCCAATTTCCCCCCTGAATGAAATTTGATGCCGAGGGGGCGGGGGGATGTTCACCACACGAATAAGGAGTGCTTTCCTGATCTAGATCAAAGAAACGGCCCGAAAACCATAGCCAGCCCTGAGGCCAAAGACATCCTTATTTCAACGTCCTCGCTGCAACGTAGCATGACCGTTCAGAGAACGGTAGGGGGGGGTGATGGGAACGTCGAAACGACTTTCTCCCGCCAGGGAAAACTTTTCAGGGGGCCCAAGGACACACAAATAAATGCACACAAATAGCAGGATTCCCAATATTTTCCAATATTTTCTGGGTTCTCGTCTTCCCCCCCACTTCCCATATTTCCCATATTTTCCTGGGAGTCGACGATTAATTGTGTCTGTGTGATTCTTTCCCTCCTGAACTTTGGAGAGGACGGCCACAGGACCCCAATGACGACGACGATGTCCACGAGCAGACCCAGAGCCCAACTGGTCAATCAGCGCCCAGGGCGCCGCTGCGGTACGCCCCCTCCCCAGGGCACCTCTCGCTCGCCACCCTGCCGTCCTTCGTTCGACTCGCCATCACTCGGAGGCCCATTTCCCGAGCATTTTTCGGCCCCTTGCGTGTTTTGAGCATTTGTCGGTTCCGTGCGTGCTCTTTTTCGATCGAGCGCCCAAGATGCTCCTCGACGGGCCTCGCCGAGAAGGAAAAAAGCGCACACGCCCGAGCGATGCCAGGTAGAGACAAGGAGCCCGGACGGAGCAGACCAAGCCGCCCGAGGCCTACAACCCCGTGCGAAAAGCAACTGGCGTTTGGTGAGCGCCCCCCAGGCTCCCCTTTTTCACTGTTGATCGTGCGACCGGCGCAGTTCGAGAAACCCAATCGGCACAGCATCGAACGTTGAAATTGGGTGGGTGGGTGCATGTTTGTGCGCGTAGAGAAAAAAAGCACCAGCTGGTTCTCGCACGGGGTTGCAGGCCCAGCGCTGTCCGACTGCCCGGCGCGCACTGGCCGCGTGCCCGTCGCTCTGCCAGGGTGGGGGCGGCGGGTGGCACGGGGAACGCTCGGGGCACTGCTGCTCGTGGGCGTGCTTTTGGCGTGCATGCGCCGGAGCGCGGCATAGGCCAGAAGCGGCGACGCGGCGCGCTGAAAACGCTTCTCGGTCTCCAAGAGTCGGGCGCTCTTTCCGCGGGCTCCGCAGCAGGCCAGTCGTGTTCCTGTAGACTTCTAGGAAGGAGTCCCCGACCCTCCTCCCACATGCCCAAACCCCCGGCGCCATGATTTTTTCATAACGTCGGCCCCCAGAAGCTTCGACCTATTCCCCGTGACCGGTTTCTCATCCCGAGTCGTTTTTTGACGGTCCCGAGGCCCGGCAAGGGCCCCCGGAGGCCGAAAATGGCGAAAAACCTTCCGTCGTGATTTTATCATGACTCGAGGAGGTCTTGGGTCAATGCGCCCCTGGCCCTGCAGGATCCTGCAGGCCCCAATGATCCTGGTGCTCCCTGGGTATCCCGCCTCGCGCCTGCGACGAATGACGACTCCATCCTGCACCCGCCAAGCCTCGAGTGGCCCGCTGCTGGTCTCCCGCCTCGCGTCCTCGGGTGGGGATCGCTCGACATCGGGGGAACGTAAGGCTCGACTTGGAGGCGTGGAAATGCGCACCAACACCAGCACAGGGGGGGGCCTCCACAGGGGGAAGATGATCCTAGATTTCGGTGTCGGTGGTAATCTGTCAGTCACCTTGGACGCCAGAATATCACCACCATCACCGAGATCGGGATCTTCTTCCCTCGGTGTATGCACACCGCCGATATTGGTGTTGGTGTCAATCTCTAGGCCTGCGAACGTAAGGCTCAAGTGTGGAGGGCTGACGTTGGCGCGACGGGGTCGTCAGTGAAACGACGAGGCCCACTTTGAAATCTGACCCGAGCTCCCGCTGAACATAATCCCGCGCAAGCTCGACTGGCAAAAGTCAGGACGCGCCCCTCCGAAAAGCGCCAGCAAACCCGAAATCTGACGAGCTCGAGTCTTACGCTCCCGGTCGAAGCAGCATATTTTCTCTTGCGGCGCAAACGCTAAGTACAGCCTCGCCCCCAGAGCCCGAGCGGCGCAAAACGGCGCCGCCCGACCTGCCAGCGCGCCCGACTAGATGCGCACCACCTGGCGGGCTCCAGAAACCCTGCACCCTAAAATGCTGTCACCTCTCGGGGGCGCATTTTGTCATTCCCGCCGCCTTCCGCCAGCCTGTTTTTGCCCAACCCTCCGTTGTTGGGTTCTCGTTATGAATAAAACGCTGTGGTCTCCACGTCCTCCTCCTCCCGCCTTTTTTTTGTTTTCTCTCTCTCGCTCTCTCTTTATGTTTTGTTGTTGTTGTTGTTTCTCTCTTTCCCCCCCTCTCTCTTCATCCATGGGGGGCCGCGATCTGCAAAACTGTCGCCGGGTTGGAGGGCTGCTGGGGGGGGGTCAGCTTAATAGCGTGCGACGCAAATCCGAGCGGGACCTCGCCATCAATGGGGGGCTGCGATCTGCGCAACTGTCGCCACTTCCGAGGCCTGTTTGGGGGGGGGGTCGGCACAGCGGGTGCCCGCCGCAGGTCCAGAGTAGACCTCGCCATCGGTGTGGGGCTGCGATCTGCGAAACCGCCGCCACTTTCGAAGCGTGCTGGGAAGGGCAGCATCAGGGGAACAAAAAGTGGCATAAACATAAAAACTCTGAGGTCCGCGCGGATTTCTCGGATCGGCGCTGGGGCCCCCCGGCGGCGCCTCTGGCGCCGCCCCTGGCGCGCTCCGCGCGCCAGGGAGGGGGTCCAACGCCGATCCGAGAAATCCGCGCGGACCTCCGAGTCTTTATGTTTATGCCACTTTTGAGTATCAGCCGTAAATCCAGATTAGACCTCGCCATCCTCTGGGCGTCCTCCTTCCTCTCCTCCTCTTCCTCTCTTCCTCCTCCTCCTCCCTCCTCTTCCTCCCCCTCCTTGCTCCTTCCTCCCTCCTCCTCCTCCTCCTCCTCCTCCTCCTCCTCCTCCTCCTCCTCCGGGCTGCGACCTGCGGAACCGTCGCCACTTCCGACGAGGCCATGCTGGGGGTGCCAAGCAGTGGCGGGCACCCGCCGCAAGCCACGCGCGAGCGGGCCCTCGCCATGCGTGTGGGGGGCTGCGATCTGCGAAAGGGTCGCCACGCTGCCACTCTCAATGCCTGCTGGGGGGGCCTCCTCCTCCTCCTCCTCCTCCTCCCCCTCCTCCTCCTCCTCCTCCTCCTCCTCCTCCTCCTCCGTCCCGTTCATTGGGGATGTGGCGCCAGTACTCCACATCCCCAATGAATCGACCCCCCCCCCCCACACACACAAAAAAAGCTGGCCCTCCTCCGAATGCGGCCTACTATTCTGGCCTCTTCGACGGGGCGCCTGAATCAACCGGACCCCTGAAGCTCCAATCCAAAGAAAGCGCCCTGATAAACCGGACCCCCCTCAGTTACAAAAAAGGCGCCTTAAAAACCGGACCCGGGGGACGATTACTAAGGGATTTGGAGTACCCGCCGCCGATCAAGCATCGACCTCGCCATCCCTGGGGCAGGCGACCTGCGAAACTGCCGCCACTGTCGGAATGCTTTTCGGGGGGGCCCGCGCAAAAAAGGGCCCCACCCAGATTGAGATTAGACCTCGCCGTCCCTGGTGGGTAGCGACCAGCGAAGCTGTCACCACTTTCGGGGGCTGCGGGGGGGGGGGTAGCACAGTGGGGCCTTACCCAGATTCAAATTCGACCTCACCATCCTTGAGGGGCTGCGATCTGCGAAACTGTCGCCAATTTCGAGGGCTGCTGGGGAGGCCAGCACAGCGGGGCACCACCCAGATTCAGATAAGACCTCGCCATCCCTGGGGGCTGCGGCCTGCGAAATTGTCGTAATCTTTTAGGGCTGCTCGGGGGGGCAACTTAGCGCGGCGCTGCGCAAATCAGAGCGGGACCTCGCCATCTGTGGGGGGTTGCGAACTGCGAAACTGCCGCCACTTTCGAGGGCAGCTGCTCCAGCTGAGCGACGTCTTACGCAAATCGGGATTGGACTTCGCCATCCCTGGGTGGCTGCGATGTGCGAACATATCGCCACTTTCGAAGGCTGCTGCTTAGCGCGGCGCTATGCAGGTCAGAGTGGGTTATCGCGGGGTTGCGAACTGCGAAACGCTTGCCACTTTCGAGGGCTGCTGGGGGGCTCCAGCGGAGAGACGTCTTAAGAAGATTCGTTTTCGACCTC